ACGAATAAACGAAACGACACAAAATATAAAATGCCAGTTTTTCTTTATTATTTAGACAAAATAATACTTCATTATACTTTTCTAAATATTTTAATTAATAATAATTTTTCACTGAATTTTTCTACTCTCTTAATAAAATATTATCGAAATATTAATGAAATTATAATGAAATTTTAATGAAATTGGGTCAAAATTGTGAATGCTTTTCAAACATATTTCAGCAAAAGTTCATTATATTTTCAATGAATTATTTCCATCAGATACAAATATCTCAATTGAGATCTTACATGCGAAATTTTGCGGAAACCTCAACTGAGAATTCAATTGAGAATTTAATTGAGAATTCAATTGGGAATTCAATTGTGATCTCAATAGAAATTTTTCAGTAGGGCGTTCTGTCGTTCGGCGCGAAATGTCCGGGAATAACAGCAAAGATCAGGCATACTCGCGGAGAAAGTACTGTACTAAAAATTATATTAGAATGGTACTTTTTTCCTCGCAATGTTTCCTGTCAAACTGACTGAAATTGTAATATAATAAAACGAGTGTCAATTGGTCCATCGTCAGTGCTCGTCTCATAAGTTCCGCTTACGAGGCGCGATCCGGATCCGAAAGATAAGTCACTAGTGGTCGCGGTTAACCGTAAATTGGCGTCGAAGAAATCGCTGTGAGAAACAATTTGCATATTTTTCTGTAATTATTCGCGAAGAGGTACAGTCTCGACAATCTCACGCGTTAATTACCACGCGTGTACGTATGCCTGTGATAAATCGCGCTTAGCATGGCGACGACGAATTGAACGTAGTCCGCGACACTGAAATATATATTACCTGGAACGCGCGCTGCCTCTTGAGGCGTGCGGGATGAGAGAGAGGTTCCCTGTTTCCTCTCTTATCCTAGTCTGGTTCACAGTATAGTCGAGAGTGGGGAGAATGTGATACAATCCAAGTTAAAAGTTAGAGATATATGAAAAGCAGTGACCACTGAATGGCAATAACTTAAACTTATGGACGAAATTTTAAGATATAAAAAAAATATACATATTTTTTCTCACTTATTATCTCAGTATTCACTTATCGACTTGTTATTAAGAAAAATAAAGCAAAGATGGTTCCTAATTCAGAGATTCAGCTTATGTTTAGAAATCAGCCTACTTAACTTTTGGTTCAGACTATATTAGACAAAGACAGAGCGCTGTTCTAGACTTACAAACATGCTCTCTCTCATCCCGCAACACTCAAAAGGTAGCGCGCGTTCCAGCTAGTATATGAGCGAGTTTTTTAATTCATCGATGAATTAAAAAACTCGTCCATATATTTCAGTGGTGAATTTACCGACGTCCTCTGCATGATGCGTTTTACCGTGAACGAGCGTCGGGAGATGATCGGCCGTGGTAACGGTAAGACGTGGATGAAAAGTCCATTCTATAATGACAGTAAGCCAGCAGTAAAAAAATAGGAAGTAAGAATAAGAAATTGATCAATCATAGTTGATTATTCTTTTGACATTCGACTGCGATTGATCAATTTCTTACTTCAATTGCTTTAATTTTTAAGCCGTAACAAATTGACTAATCACAGCCATTTAAAAGTAATTCACAATATTTTAAAAATAATCAACTGCGGTTGGTCAATTTTTTACGGCTTAAGAATTAAAGCAAGGTTGTGGACAAGGGCATTGCAAAAAAAGAACTAGCTTCCAGAGCTAGAAAATAGCTGTGGCAGATAAGATGTGTCATTGAAATAGAGACAGCTAATGTCTACCGAAGCTAAATTTATTTGCTGTAAACTTAGGCGCTACAGCGAGAAATATTAGCTGCTAGAAATGATTGTAACAAATGATTGTAGCTGTACGGAAAACTTCTTTAATATAAGAAATAAATCTTTAATATAAATTTCTTTAATATAGGAAATTTAGGAATAACTGCCATTTTCTTAGCTACTTGAAATAATGTGCATTTTTAATGTCACCTATGTTTGTATTTCATAGTGAATGTATCTTAACTGTCATAGCCAATTCTTAACAGTGACAGCTAAATGATTATCCTTTTGACTAAGTTTGAATCAGCTACCGTGGTTTAACTGATATTACTAATAGCGAATTCGGTTGCTTGCACTAGTGTGCACTGAGTGCGCACTAAGGCTTATTCATAGTATGTTATTATATTTAAAGATTGTCTTAAATAATTCTCAAATAAATTCTCAAATATTTTTAATCATAATATGATATGTATAACATCCGTACGAATCATTTTATTAGTTAAAATGTCTTTAAATATATATTTAAGACATGATCTTAAATATAAGAATGTACTGTAAACAAGCCTTAATGCGCACTCAGTGCGCACTAGTGCAAGCTACCGAATTCGCTATAAGTCATTTTTTTGCGTGTAGAATGGGCTAAACACACATCACAATGTGTCGCACCTCTCTTTCAGAAAAACTTCTCGCCAACTCTTTATTTCGTCAGCTATATATATATGTACAATGCGATATATGTGTATATCTATCGGCAGAGATTTGAAACTGCGACTTACTGCGGCAGTACAAGTTAATTAAATTCTAAAACAAATATGATCTACACTTGATAGAGTAATCTTGTCACCTTTGTGGTGTTCTCTCATTCAAAACAGTTCTCACAAAGTAAAATGATGGATTCCACTCTAAGAATTTTACTGCATCGAATCCTGTTCCTCTTTTTTCTGTTTGTATGAGTACAGATACTTGGAGCCGTAGTACTCTTTGAAGTAAGGACCTCTGAAGTCGCGATATTGGGCCATCGCTTCTTCTACCCGGTGCTCGAGCATTCGAACTTGTCTAACCTGATTCTCATGGTATATATGGTGCAAATATTTCTCGTATTCCTGCTGAGGTGATGGGAACAGGTAGCGTTGAAAGAATCTCTTGATGGGATGCTGAAACGAAAAGATAAGAGCTGATCACCGTCCTGACTTCACGGATGCCTCGCACATGGCTGCTGCTGATCCACATAAATGCCTGAACTTTCCAGAAAAGAAAGATTCCGTCGTCAGGATAAATATCTTACCCGATGGTACTCCCATTCTTTAGGCACGTAACCCTCCGGGATTGGTTCGAGTGTAGCAGGTCCAATGAAGACATTAATTAAGAAGATCCCACTGATAACAGGAATGAAACCCAGCAGAAAGTAGAAGTGGAACCAGTCTTTCGTTTTGTGCCATTGAAAGCGACTCGGCTGTATCACCATTAGACGTTTCTCGGACATGCATCTTGCTAGCTCTGGAAAGACAGGAAAACATGTCTGAGACTCGCGTTGCTATATGCAACATGAATCAATGGCCTGGTCGATCGATTTTCGAGTGTCAGCCGACACTAACGTGCCAATTATTGTCAATGAGCGCATCTGTACTCTGACAAATGTAGGATCCTTCATCCTACTATACGGAACACACGAAGTCGTATGCCTGTGCAAGACACTGTGCGGTAGTTGTTGCGTAACAAAACACTAGCGCATCCTGACAGTAGCTCATTGACAGAACAAGAAGCACTTGCTTAACGACGAAACTGTATTTAGTCATGCGTATAATCACCCTTGTTCACTAATGATGCTCGAAAAGCGCCGTTTTGCAGCAATTTTTGACCAGCTGCACGGCAAAGACTGCTCCAGACCACCATCTTGCCTCGTGTCGAAGAGGAGAACCCAGACGTGTGGTGCTCTCGAAATTCGAGATGGAAACGCAGCACACCTACTTACTGATCGTGGTAAAGGTAGGGTTGCACTACTCATTGGATAACACGTGGTCAGATGATAAACGTCTCCGAAATATATACTACCTGTAACGCGCGCTACCTCTTGAGTGTTGCGGGATGAGAGAGAGCATGCTTGTAGGTCTCGAACCGCGGTCTGTCTTTGTCTAGTACAGTCTGAACCAAAAGCTAAGTCGGCTGATTTCTAAACATAAGCTGAATCTCTGAATTAGGAACCATCTTTGCTTTATTTTTCTTAATAATAAATCCTCGATGAAAAATTTTTCATGCATAATTATATATAAAATTTGTCCATACATAATTATGTATAATTATATATAATCATATAAAATTATATATAATTATACACAGTTATGTATAATCATATATATAATTACATATAATTGTATGCATAATTATGTAAAATTATATATGAAATTATAGATAGAATTATACATGATTATACATGATTATATATATAAGTAATATGTATTAACATGTATGGACAAATTTCATACATAATTATGTAAAGTCATATAAAATTATATGTAATTTTACATTATTATATATAATTATGAATGAAAAATTTTTCATTCATAATTATATATAATAATGTAAAATTACATATAATTTTATATGACTTTACATAATTATGTATGAAAAATTTTTTATTGGGTCGATAACTCATACAGCATAAAAGTTTGAAAAAGATTTCAGAAAGATTTTAGAAAAGTCTCAGAAAGATTCAATGTTTCTGAAACCTTTCCGGAAGCTTTTTGAAACTTTTGTGCTGTATGGGAAGTGAATACTAATAAATGAGAAAAAAAATATATATTTTTTTATATCTTAAACTTTCGTTCATAAGCTTAAGTCATTGCCATTCAGTGCTCACTACTTTTCATATTATTTCTAACTTTTAACTTAAATTGTATCACATTTTCTCCACTCTCGACTATACTATAAACCAGACAAGGATAAGAGAGGAAATAAAGAACCTCTCTCTCATCTCGTACGTCAAGAGGCAACGCGCGTTCCAGGGCTCTTATTCTTGAAATAGTTGCGTATACATAACTTTTACTGCGTAGGTTTAATCATACCATAAAATAGCTGCGCAATGAAAATTACATATACGTAAAAATTTCAAAAATATGGGCTCAGGTAGTATATATTTCAGTGAGCGCAAAGTCCTCAAATACCATGCAACGGTAATTTAATGCACGATAAACTTTGAAGCACGCTTTAAATATCGTTTTGCGTGCTGCAAAATGTTACCGACGAGGTATCCCAGACAACATAATGTCGGGACATAAGACGACTTAAAGATCATCTTTAAGATGTCCTTCGACGATTTACGTATAAATGTCTTTAAGGCGTCTTATGTCTTGATTTTAGACATTATGTTATATGGGATTATTAAAGATCGTAAATTTTCTACTGATAAAAAAAATCGTTAAGGAATTCAGAGGTAATTGAATAAGACATTATCTCGGCTATTTTCAGATATCTTATACAAATACCTGGACGTTCAGTGTGTAATAAAATATTAGCTAAACAAATTTACAACTGATATATATATATATATATACTATTGATTGACGTTTTATTGTTATATATACATACCTGCAACGAAGTATATTCAATATTTTTGTGAAATTGCATAATTATTACCTACATTTTACATATTTTTATTGACAACTTTAGTGACGGATTATTAAATAGCGAAATTTTCTAGCATGCAAAATCCAGGACTAATAAATAAATGTATTAACTATTTACGCAAAAATAAAATAAATAAGTCCATATGGTATATGTAAATATATATAATAATATATATATAATACACATACATATAATGAGTGCGATTAATGTGTTAAGGAGATATTCTAGGATGAAGACTCGTTTTCAAGGCGATTTTTGGGAATTAATTTTAAGTAAATGGTTAAACCTAAAAAATTAATGTTTTGCACTGACATTTATTCGTCTTTGAAAAAACATCTCAAATTTTATCAAAGCTTTTATTCAAAATTGGAGAAAATACAAGTGGACGAAACAGATCACGCTGTAAAATAATTTTCCATCGGATATGTTGATTGCCGCCATCCTCGTCATCTGAGATAAACAAATTTGTTCTTATTTTGTTCTTTATGAATGTGGCTATCACCCGAGCTAGAATTAAATAATTTGAAGAAAAATTGACAAAATGGCGGCGCATGAAAAATAATAGGCTGATTTTTACTAAAAAATTCTAACTTTTCGCAGTCCGCAAAAATAGTAATTTTAAAGATATCAAAAAGATTCTAGTTCGAACGATAGCCACGTTCATAAAGAATAAAGTAAAAGTAAATTCGTTTATTTCAGACGACGAGGACGGCGGCAATCAACACACCAATGGAAGATGGCGTAATCTGTTTCGTCTACTTGTATTTTCTCCAATTTTGAATAAAAAGCTTTGGCAAAATTTAAGGTGTTTCTTCGAAGATGAATAAATGTCAGTATAAAACATTAGCTCTGTAGGTTTAACCATTTGTTTAAAATTAATTCCCAAAAATCAGGTCTTGAAAACGGGTCTTCATACTAGAACACTCTTTTAAATGTTGTTGGTTATTATTAATGAAGTCAGCAAATTAGCGATAAAATTGCAAATAACTTAATAAATCAATTAATTTAAGACATAATTCCAATTAATATGTAAAAATGAACACAGCTGTTCGCTTCTCTCATTCAGTTTTCCGCAGCTTTTTATTTCTTTTTATTAATTAATTGCGCGGCCAAAGATTTTCTTGAATGTCGTCGGGAGAAGTAATTTTTATCTGTCTAGTCTTAGACAGACGATAAAGCGTCGTTGGCGTCCATTGAGTCAGAAATTGTTTTGTTTCGACGCATTAATCGCAAACACGATCCGTTGCAATGGCGATCCGTCAGGCACCAATGAAGCCGGGTCAAGTGAACAATTGAACTCGAGAAACGATTGTAAATTACGAGCGCCCGGTCGATTCTCGTGACAGGATCCAGAAAATTCCCGGGTCGCGTCACCGATCACGTCTCACGCGCATAAGGACGACCTTATCCGCTTCGTTTTCATCGAGCACCCGCGCTGGCTTCAGCGCGACGAAACACGAAATGTCAATAGCGATACGTAACGAGCGGGCACCTTCAAACATCTCCGGAGAGCGCGACAGTTCCTTAAACACCGCGTGATTTAATGCACGCTAAACTCTTATCTTTTCGCGTGCCGCAACGATCGACACGAGGCTGACACGAGTCGCGGCTGAATTTGCGGCGACGATCGCCGCCGGCTGTCCCTTCGATAATTCGCGAGGAAGATTGCCCGCGCAAAAGCAAACGAGATTAAACTCGTCCACGGGACACGCGATATCTCGTCTATCTCGCGTGTAAAGAAAAAGAAGTCGTGCGAGATACTAAAGTTTGCATTCTTATGTAATGCGTCGTGCCGTTTAAGGCCAATTAGACGCGCCATTAACGGCGTTCTCATGTATGACCACAATGGATCTTGGAATAGCACGCGATATCCGGCTGCTCGCACAGCTGATTCAGTGGAAACTTGTTCCGCCCGTTCCTGCGTTTCTTCTTTTTCTCTCAATTTTGTTTTTTTCTTTACCCCTTGAAGCCTTAAGTGTCGGATTAGAGATAACGGCGGTTTATAGGTAATGGTAGCGAGCAGCTGAGCGCGTCTGCTTCTAGTAGGGAAGGTAGAACGATTGAACGTGAGTCATCGAGGTTTTAATGGATCGATACGTACGATAACGGCACGATGCGTAGCTTTGTAGAGCGTTGGTCAACGGTCGTTTGTCGAATTGTTTGTGCTTTGTAGTTGGGAAAAGGAGGATATTCCTGGCAGAGGAAATTATCATGTAATCTTATTTGCTCGTTGCTTTGAGGGTGGAGAAATTAATTAAAGTCGATCGACATTAATTTCAGTCACGAAATCTCCATAAAAATAACGTCCTGAGGTCGTTTTAAATGTACACTGGATATCTTATTTATATTTTAAGTTAATTTATAATGCCTTTGTGTCTTAAATCGTTCTATTTTGTATTCCTATCTATTCCTACTTATCTATTGTATTCCTATCTTACACGTGATAAAAGTACATGTGCCCCTTAAATTGTAACTTGGAGTTACGATTCGACCTTCAACCGCGGAGATGAGTTGGACGTTGAATGATCTCACCACGAGGGAGATTTCAACTTATACAAAGAAAATATTGAAGGAAAAATAACGTCACAATTAGATCTCTTTTTCCAATCTTTTTGTAAAGCTGTACTATATTAAAATTGCAATACTTTTGCAGTAAATTGCAGTACAAATTATTATAAAAATAGTAAATTTGATGCGATACAAAAAACATTCAAGTATACGTATAATTACAATAATTTTATACTGAAAAGTTAAATGCATGCAACATTTTTCAGCAAATATTTAGCACAGTTTTGATCATAATTCTGCGTACGATTCGTAGGAATTTCGTTTAGTATTTTTCTCACGATATTTTCTCTGTATACAAAATCTCAGCGGATCACGGGACAAAGATTCCAACGCTGGGGTGAACTGGAGATCCCGTTCCGCGTATGTCCCGATACCCTCCAGGTGAATGACCGTTCAGAAAATCACCTACAAGCTGGATGAGTTGATTTCGAGTAGAATCGTCGCGTTTCGTATGTAATACGTGTCTCTCTCATACACGTAAGCTTTTTCTTGAGCGTTAATAAAACACGGACTCAAATCCACTGTTGTGCGGATATTGGAAGAAAAAGAAGATAGCGTGATTGTAAATCGTCACGTTTAACAGTGGAGCCGACGGATAATTTCAATTTTCACTCTCTCTCTCTCTCTGCTTTAGTAAATAAGTACAGGGTGACCAATGGGAATGTGTCGAAAGTAAACGGTTATTACTTCGCAACAAATAGGCCGAATGGAATGAATAAAATGCCACTTTGTAGAGGAAACTTGTTCAGTTTTATTACCATATGTATAAAAAAGGAATATAGTAATTTAATAATTGAAATATACATTATAAGAAAAAGGACAAAAATTTGCTTGCGCGTATGAATTAAAAAAGGTAAAAAAAGGAGCGCTTAGTTCTTGCGCTTCGTAAAAGAAGAAAATTGTCATACAAAATATTATATTACAAAATAATTCGTACAACAAACTTTACTTTTCTGTTACAAAATTAATGATATCAGGAAATTTGCTCCACGTGAATATGATTAATTGTAACATATCATTATATCATTTTTTTAATCACTTTATTTGTTATTAGACTTTGTTATGTACCTATTTTTTACATGTTACATTATTTTGTGTTAGGTATATGTTTATAAAAAGAGCAAGAATTTGCTTGCGCGTATGAATTAATGGTACATGTTTTCAAAATGTTGTCCATCAGGTGAGGAAATCAGCTGAGTAAGAAAATTTGTTCATGGAAGTCTAAAGTGTCTACCGATTTTTCTATCCGATTTGAATTCGAGTGATTTTTTCTTCGAGGTCACCTTAAAGACAAATATTACAAAACTCAAAACATCACAGAGCTGATAGATAATATTAAAAAATGCTCTCGCGGTATTTTTTAATATTATCGTTTTCGAAAACTTTGAAATACAATATCTAACATAGATATGCAGTATCTAACATAGATAATATTAAAAAGTGCTCTCGCAGCATTTTTTTAATATTATCTATGTTAGATACTGTATATCTGTGTTAGATACTGTATTTCAAAGTTTTCGAGAACCATTACAGTTCTGTGTTGATTCCGATGGCCAATATTTTGAGAACACACCATTAATTCATACGCGCAAGCAAAAATTTTTGTCCCTTTCTTTATAATGTATATTTTAATTATTAAATTGCTATATTCCTTTTTTATATATATGTGGTAATAAAATCGCCAAGTTTCCTCTACAAAATGGCGTTTTATTCATTCCATTCGGTCCATTTATTGCGAAGTAATAACCGTTTACTTTCAACACATTCCCACTGGTCACCCTGTAAATAAGTGAATTTCAGGGTTACACGTGTGACCACGCGATTTCAAAACACGTGCAAACACAGAAGCTCGAATGATGTACAGTATGAAACACACCGCGTCCGCATTTCCACACGACTGGAGACAAAGTGTCCCTTTCCCTTTCGAATTCAGGCGAACTTCGCAGGAGATGCCGCGGCGATTTGGAGGACAAAATCGGGAAAATCGATGAATGCGCGGCGCGAGGGGAAGAGCGAACGTTAGCAACCCTTAAGATCGACCACATTGGGCACAGTGTGTGACACACAGCACACACAGCGATTACACACGGAGAGTCAGGTCGGACGTAGAAGGAGAAGGAGAGGCGACGAGGTTTCCAGGCTTTCTCTCAGCCAGTCGTCTACCGATCGCGGCGCCGAGCAGAGCAACCACGTCGACGAGAGTTAAGCCGGCCGGTCGATCGATCGTGCGTTGCCCGCGTCACGTTGACCGCGCTCTCTTCCCGTCCACGAGAATCATCACAGGAGGAGAGGAGAGGAGAGAGCGAGAGAGCCTCCTCTCCGATCTGCTCCGCTTTGGCTTGGCCTAGCCTTCGCAGTTGCTTCACTTGCCGCTTCGCTCTCGTGCCTTGCCCTTCGTGAACGTTCGCGACGCCCAACGAGATCGATTTGCGGGGCCAGACAGGTGGCTTGGAAACGTAAGTGCTTCTCCAGTCATTAAGCGGCCTCGGTATCTACATACAATGTACGAGCTGCACCTTCGGGGCACTCAGCGAGTCGGCCAGGTGCAAACGACGCGCTTGTAAACGAGAATTTGCTCGATTCAGGGCGATCGCAAGTCATTCCTCGCGATGTCAGGGAGTCACTCGGTCGTTGCTGTTTTCCCTCTTGTTATTTATTGTCATTTCGCGGAGGGCTTCTCGCTCGTCTCGACCTGAAGTCACCTGTTACTGTCGCTTCGATCAATACGCACCTTTCGCACCTTCCTCATCGCGGGACGTACTTCGCGACGTGATCTAGACTTCAACGAGGGACAGAGGAAAAAGACAAAGGGAGAGTGCAGTCCAGAGAAACAGAGGACTCACTGACAGCGCGCGTACCTGTTGGCTTATTTACTGTCAGTGCCTCGGGAAACGACGACGACGCGTCGGTCGGGGCGTTGATCGCGCCGAATCGATCGATCCTACCGCGGTCTTGTAAACACGGGGAGCGTGTCGAGCGGGAAGCAAGTCGCCAGGATGTCGGCCACCAAAACGGTCTTTGAACTCGCGAGCTATCTCAGGCTTCCCTCGCTTTGTGTAGGGCCTGTTGTTCAACGTAACGTAACTTTATCGTATCTCGTAACGAACGACATTAGCGAAGTAAGAATTCTGAGGGAGAAGCTCATCATACGTCGATACAACGATGATAAAGTAAAATTGAGCATTTTTCATTTCGGTTGCTCAAGACTCCATTAAACTTCATCGCACAGCAATACAAAAAATGGATTTTTAAACTTGCTTTATCAAATAACATAAATGCCAATCTTGTAAAGGTAAACGCGAAACAGAATTATAATAAAATATCCATTTTAATATCTTTATTTTTACCTTCTAAAGTTTTTTGTTAAAATTTTAATTAAAATTACCGGATTTCTCTCTCGGTTTGGCCAAGATTCGAACCATTTTTGACTAGTTTAGCATAGATTTAAAATATTTCGGTTGGAATCTCGGCTAAAGAAATTTAGAATGATTCGTGTCTCAGCTATGTCGATTTTGTTAAAATTTTAATTAAAATTGCCGGATTTCTCTCTCGGTTTGGCTGAGATTCGAACCATTTTTTACTAATTTAGCACAAATTTGAAATATTTCGGTTGGAATCTCGGCTAAAGAAATTTAAAATAATTCGTGTCTTAGCTATGCCGATTTTATTAAAATTTTAATTAAAATTGCCGGATTTCTCTCTCGGTTTGGCTGAGATTCGAACCATTTTTTACTAATTTAGCACAAATTTGAAATATTTCGGTTGGAATCTCGGCTAAAGAAATTTAAAATAATTCGTGTCTTAGCTATGCCGATTTTATTAAAATTTTAATTAAAATTGCCGGATTTCTCTCTCGGTTTGGCTGAGATTCGAACCATTTTTTACTAATTTAGCACAAATTTGAAATATTTCGGTTGGAATCTCGGCTAAAGAAATTTAAAATAATTCGTGTCTTAGCTATGCCGATTTTATTAAAATTTTAATTAAAATTGCCGGATTTCTCTCTCGGTTTGGCTGAGATTCGAACCATTTTTTACTAATTTAGCACAAATTTGAAATATTTCGGTTGGAATCTCGGCTAAAGAAATTTAAAATAATTCGTGTCTTAGCTATGCCGATTTTATTAAAATTTTAATTAAAATTGCCGGATTTCTCTCTCGGTTTGGCTGAGATTCGAACCATTTTTTACTAATTTAGCACAAATTTGAAATATTTCGGTTGGAATCTCGGCTAAAGAAATTTAAAATAATTCGTGTCTTAGCTCTGTCAATTTTGTTAAAATTTTAATTAAGATTGCCAGATTTCGATTGGAATCTCGGCTAAAGAAATTTAGAATCTTGATAGAATCTTGGTAGAATCTTGATAGAATGAGAGAATCTTCGATAGCTGGATGCCGCCGAACGGCATTTCGACTTCCGAGATTAGATATCCGGGATTGGTCTTTATTTAAAGCGCAGCTATCTGTAAACGTGACACCACCTTCAGCTCGACTTTTACCTCACGTGTGTCCGGCTCGTGTTCACACCTGCATCTTTATTCATGCTCAATCTATTAGAATTACTCGGCATTACTCGGCTAGAACAAAGTCCCACTGATCCAGTTGTATCGGTGATTTGAACTCCGACTTCTTCGATTTTATTCTACTCGACCGGCAAGAGTGTGATATTTGTTCCGCGCGATTATCCAATTATATATTTTCCATTATTTTCGTTTTTTATAACGTGTTTTCTAACGGTTCAAGTTATCGTATTCCAGCAGAACTCGTATTTAAAGAAAAGTAGCGGAAGTACAGTATCCTCCATAAGTTTGGAAACGCAGATAAAAATAAGGACATTAAAATGGATATTTTATTATAATTCTGTTTCGCGCTTACCTTTACAAGATCGGTAATTATGTTATTTGATAGAGCGAAGTTTCAAGTTTAAAAATTCACTTTCTGTATTGCTGTGCAATGAAGTTTAGTGGAGAATTGAGCAACTGAAGTCAAAACGCTCAATTTTACTTTAACCCTTAGTAATACGAAAACACAAAATTGTAGAGAAATTTTTTCAGAATGTAAATTGTGTAGAAAACTTTAATCTTTTACACAGAAGAAATTAAAATTTTCTCAGATTTTTTCTTACGTTTGTAAGAAAAAATTTTGTCTTAAATTGAAAAGAAAGTTTTCCATTTTGTTCATTTCGTTTTCATAAAGGCTAGATTGCACTAGCGATTGGCGATTGAAGATTGGAACTTGACCAATTGAAACAATGCAAGCCAAGGCTGAAGCTCGTTGATTCGTCAAAATCTAATCTTCAAAATCTAATGTAATATCTAACAGTTATCATATATTTCTCAATTTGAGACATGCCACGAACGCAAGAAAAAGTCTGAGAAAATTTTAGTTTCTTTCGTATAAAAGATTGAAGTTTTCCATACTATTTATTTTGTGAAAAAATTTCTCTATTTTTGTGTTCTCTAATTTTGTATTTCCATATTACTAAGGATTAAAGTAAAATTGAGCATTTTCATTTCGGTTGCTCAAGACTCCATTAAACTTCATCGCACAGCAATACAAAAAATGGATTTTTAAACTTGCTTTATCAAATAACATAAATGCCAATCTTGTAAAGGTAAACGCGAAACAGAATTATAATAAAATATCCATTTTAATATCTTTATTTTTACCTTCTAAAGTTTTTTGTTAAAATTTTAATTAAAATTACCGGATTTCTCTCTCGGTTTGGCCAAGATTCGAATCATTTTTGACTAGTTTAGCATAGATTTAAAATATTTCGGTTGGAATCTCGGCTAAAGAAATTTAAAATAATTCGTGTCTTAGCTATGCCGATTTTGTTAAAATTTTAATTAAAATTGCCGGATTTCTCTCTCGGTTTGGCTGAGATTCGAACCATTTTTTACTAATTTAGCACAAATTTGAAATATTTCGGTTGGAATCTCGGCTAAAGAAATTTAAAATAATTCGTGTCTTAGCTCTGTCAATTTTGTCAAAATTTTAATTAAGATTGCCAGATTTCGGTTGGAATCTCGGCTAAAGAAATTTAGAATTATGAGCTATGCCGATTTTGTTAAAATTTTAATTAAAATTGCCGGATTTCTCTCTTGGTTTGGCTGAGATTCGAACCATTTTTTACTAATTTAGTACAAATTTGAAATATTTTTGGTTGGAATCTCGGCTAAAGAAATTTAGAATAACTTGTGTCTCAGCTATGTCGATTTTGTTAAAATTTTAATGAAGATTGCCAAGATTGTCCTAATTTTTACATTTCCAAACTTATGGATGATATTGTATTTGAACAAAAGAAAAAGGGGAAATTCGATTGAAATTTCGTTGAGCCTTTCGCCGCGGGTGAATTTACGGCAGCGATCACAGCCGACGATGCGTTGCAAATTGTCAAGTTTCTTCAGAAACTTCAGAATAAATCGCCACGTGAGTTTTGAGAAATCATCGTCACAAAGCCGTGAATTGAAATCGAGCTGCGTCGACTTCAATTGGTGGAGTCGGCGCTCATTATTGACGAGCCACGACGACGTTGTGCAATTTGCCTTCGTCGCAACAGGCGATTTTTACAACCTTTATGCCGCGATATGACGCCGCTGTCTCTCGATGAGAACCTCGTAGAATGGCCTAGGATCGATTGCGCCAACGTCATTGAAGTTGGACTTACACAAAGTCGATAAACATACGAGAGTATCGAGTGGCTCGACCTTCGTAACGTTACTTAAGATTCGGGGATAATAGCTTGGACGCGCGGCGTTTTCGAGCTGGGAGAAACTCGGTCTGATTTTTGTTTCTTTTCTCACGTCGGTCTGGTCAATGATTATTTCGCGAATTCTTCATGTTTTGCGCTCAACAACAGGAGAAACAGAGCAAGGAAAACGGCTTAAAAGCGTCACTTTCACGCATCGAGCGCCTCCCTACCTTCGCGTACTAGAAGAAGCTCTTTGAATCGTGAAGGAAAGTTGCATTAGCGTGTGTGTGCGTGCATTACGGCACTTATCCCGGGAATTCGCAGAATTTTACCATCCATTTCAACGTCCGCGAAATCGCCACCTGCAACAAATCGTTTTGCGCGACGGTTACGTTAGCGGACGCTACTTGTACATCGCGCATAAATTTTCCGCGAGCAATTCTTTCCTCTCTCTGTCTGAGTTTTACTCTCTCTTATGTACGAGAGAAGAAAACGACACAAAGACCGCCGGATTACTTTTGTCTCTCTCTCTTTCTCTCCCCTCGTCAAATCTCGTTAGAAACAAAAGCTGTCGCGTGAGCTTATATAAGATCAGTAACAAGAATGACTAGACTATCGAATTCATTACATTACAGCCGTTAATTACCACATGACAAACGTTTGTTTGTGCCTGTGACACGCACAAACGGCCGCACGACTATCTCAGCTAATTAAAATGTTCAAATGTTAACAAGACATTCGTTCAATGTCGACGACACGTCAATGAGACTCATGCAGCTGTCAATCTCATTCCCGCTCGTTTATATGTCGGAGCAACTGTTATTTTAGAGAAAAAGTATCTGAAAAATATCTAAAAAATATATTTAAAACTTTATCTATCTCTATTTAATTTAAAGTATATCTAAAAAAAATATCTAAAAAAAAATAATAATTCGCAAATAAAAATTTTTAGATATTTTTTATCTTACTGCATTGACAAGTAAACCTACCCAAGAGATACACTCTAATTTCTTTCTAATTTGGCACAAATGTAGAAGCACAAAAAATATTTAGGTCATATTTTTTAATTTTAGCCCATTTTGAGTTTCACAAACAGTTTATAGCTTTTTAATCTTCTCACTCCTATCATCAACAAGTGCAACAAAAATGCATAGCAAATAAAATATACAAGATATAATTAAATAATTTTAATAAAATCGGCATAGCCGATCATAGTTGAGATACGAATCATTCTAAATTTCTTTAGCCGAGATTCCAACCGAAATCTGGCTTAATTAAGATTTTAACAAAATCGACATAGCTGAGACACGAATTATTCTAAATTTCTTTAACTGAGGTTCCAACCAAAATATTTCAAATCTGTGCTAAATTAGTCAAAAGTGGTTCGAATCTCGGCCAAATCGAGAAATTATTTATAAAAATAATTTTTTTCAACTTCTTACATGTTTTGTTTTAACATTTTATTATTTATATAAATAATTTTACACATTTGACTTTATATTCATAATCAACAAACCAAAAACGCCTCAATCTTGTATTCAATTTTATTTCTTATGCATTTTTGTTGCACTTATTGATGACAGAAGTGAGAATATTAGAAAGCTGTAAATTGCCCATAAAACTCAGAGCGGGTCAAAATAAAAAAACCTGATTTAAATATTTTTTGTACTTCTACATTTGTGTCAAAATAGATAGAAATCGGAGTGTATCTTTTGAATAGGTTTATTTGCGAGAAGAAGAGAGAGAGAGAGAGAAAGACAAATGATCTAGCTTAAATTATAGTTATTTATGGCCTCGACCATATTTTCTGTAGTATAATCGTAGCGGTAACATGCATATAAGACTATTACCACTACATTGTATAATAGTAGAATTGAAGTGAGTCGCGCGGGATGAAAGTCGAATATGTGCGCGCACGCGAGTAATTTGGATGAAATCGCCGATCGTGCGCAAGGGACGGACGTGTCGTATTCCTCATGGGATCTCGCGAGATCGTTAGTCGTCGAAGCCGGGGAAACGAACCGCCTCGAATTGACAGCAGTCGTACGCGTGCAAAAGTCGTTGAAAAGGAAGCAATCCGGCCGCTCACGCGAACGCTCGTTCGCTCTCGGCGCGTGTAGTCGTGCCGGCGTGACCTTCCTCGCGAATAAGCATGTCGTGAATAGGTTCGCGAGGGTCGCGAGAAAATGTTCACTCGCGGATTTTCCGATTACGCGGATTTCTCGTCCCGTAACGCGAAATCGCGATATCCGCGAGCCATTCGCGCGAGCCATTCACAAGTGAATGTATCTCGCGAGAGCAAATCTTCTCACTCCTATCATCAACAAGTGCAACAAAAAATGCATAAGAAATAAAATTGAATACAATATATAGTTAAATAATTTTAACAAAATCGGCATAGCTGAGACACGAATCATTCCAAATTTCTTTAGCCGAGATTTTAACCGAAATCTGGCAATCTTAATTAAAATTTTAACAAAATCGATATAGCTAAGATACGAATTATTTTAAATTTCTTTAGCCGAGATTCCAACCGAAATATTTCAAATTTGTGCTAAATTAATAAAAAATGGTTCGAATCTCAGCCAAACCGAGAGAGAAATCCGGCAATTTTAATTAAAATTTTAACAAAATCGGCATAGCTCATCATTCTAAATTTCTTTAGCTGAGACTCCAACCGAAATCTGGCAATTTTAATTAAAATTTTAGCAAAATCGGCATAGCTGAGACACGAATCATTCTAAATTTCTTTAACCGAGATTCAAACCGAAATATTTCAAATCTGTGCTAAATTAGTAAAAAATGGTTCGAATCTCAGCCAAACCGAGAGAGAAATCTGGCAATTTTAATTAAAATTTTAACAAAATCGGCATAGGTCATCATTCTAAATTTCTTTAGCCGAGATTCCAACAGAAATCTAGCAATTTTAATTAAAATTTTAGCAAAATCAGCATAGCTGAGACATGAATCATTCTAAATTTTTTTAGCCGAGTTTCCAACCAAAATATTTCAAATTTGTGCTAAATTACTAAAAAATGGTTTGAATCTCAGCCAAACCGAGAGAGAAATCCGGCAATTTTAATTAAAATTTTAACAAAATCGGCATAGCTCTTCATTTTAAATTTCTTTAGCCGAAATTCCAACCAAAATATTTCAAATTTGTGCTAAATTAATAAAAAATGCTTCGAATCTCGGCCAAAGTCTCCGCGCGGTTTCGTCCGCGCTTCCCGTCCGTAAGTCGCGCAAAATGCGTAGAAAAACGGCCGAACGATCGAGCGAGCGAGATCGAAGGAGCGCGCGAGAGAGTCTCGCCTGCAAATTGGTGGAAAACGCGAGTTTTCGCACCGCGCGCCCCGTCCCGCCCGTTTCGTGAGGCGCGCAAGGAGAAAAATCGCTCTTGCGCCCGGCAGAGAAAGTCACTGTTCCGCACGCAGAGCTAACCGCAAAATTGCCGCGCACCAATGACCGAGATATTGGATAGTTTCGTTGCGAATGTCGCGCGCAGGACGGACGTGTGGCAACGTTAACCTGCGTCGCGGCTCGTTACTCGGGAATCTAATGCAACTATCTGGCGACTAGCGAGGTAAAAGCGCCTGGACAATCCTGGAATTCTTATTGATTTGGTCTTCAAGTATGGACATTTGAACTTTCAACACAAAACATACGTACACGGGAAAAAACAGAACTTTGCTTAGAACTAATCAAATATCCGGTTAGAGATATGAACGAATTAATCGGAATCTTATCAACTCGAACAGAATTCCGGTTGAAGATATCAGAATTCTATTCGAATTGAATACCTGCAAGTCAACTGAATTTCTTTTTCCATGTGTGTATATATATATATATTTAGATATATATACATACTTAATATTTTTTATGTTTAAAATTCAAATATTTGTATTTAAAGTTCAAAACAATAAGAATATTTACGTGCTCTGCCCGTCAAAAGTTTCCGTATAAAATAGTATAAGTTACCTATAAAATAAAGGAGAATAAAAGAAAAGGTATATTAAGCTAATCTATATTTTTTTTATATTTTCCTAATAGTCCTAATATTCAAATATTTTATTTTATCAAATATATACTTTATTAATCTATATTTGATCAAATATTTTCTAAAATAGATATTTTAATTACTTTGAACAAAAATATATTCTAAGTATTATAAACTTCAACAAGAAACTGTCTTCTCTTCAAAGGCAATTGGACCGTGAAGTGCGTAAGAATTGTCTGTGTCGATATTATGGGAAGTTCGTCAAAAGGTCTGGGATAATATCTCAAAAGATTATTTGGAAAGTCTTGTAGAACGCCTGCCAAGACTGGTCAATATTGTGATCAAGGCAAAAGGCGGATTCTTTGAAGATAGTTGAAGTTCTTGTTGGAGTTTATAATACTTAGAATGTAGTTTTGTTCAATGTGTAATTGAAATATCTACTTGAAATACTAATTGAAATATCTACAGAAAATATTTGATAAAATATAGATTAGCTTAGTATTCCTCCCGTTTTTCTTTTATTCTCCTCTATTTTATAGGTGTACGGAAACTTTTGACGGGCAGTATACGTGTCCGAGCATTGGCACTTTTTCAGGCAGGAAAGAAAATTACGGTGACGATAAAATAATATAATCCTGATCGAAAGGTGAGTTTTTATAACAATTTTCTCGTTATTTGGACGTTATCATGGTCTTCCACTTGAATTTATCTTATCACCTTGCTCGAAATCTTTATGTTATGCAAAAGTTGTATAAAAATAACGAGTGATTACATTCGTAATTTCAGGCTATAAAATGTTGGCTGGTCGCAAGTGCAACGTTAGGCAGAGTTGACGAAGACACACTCGTAGAGGGACGTCTATAGTTGATTAGTACTAATTAAGAAGGAGAGAAGGGAATCACACGCTCGTCGACTAACAACCGCACCAGCCGACAAGCGGAGAAGATGGATCCTTATTCATTGAGGTGAGTTACCGAGAAAGCTTACCAGGGAGTGCGACCCATTGAACGCTGCAGACGCTTTGAAGCGTTTGAAGAAAAGCCACGATACTCTCTTAAAATAAACCAGTCAAATATCACTGAAAACAGTGAATATACACTGATTTGCAATTATTAATATAGTACTGAAAGTATTCAGTGCTATACTTGTAACTGATATCAGTGACCAATCATTGATTCATTTTAACTTTCTAACCGTGCTCTGGATCTTTTTTTACTCAGAGCAGTTTCAAAGTTCATACAGTTTTTGTAATATTCTAAATACTAATGTGATACTTCGTGACTTTTCGAGTTATTTTAGAAAAAGTCAGTGTATATTGTACTAAATTACTTTATATAATGCTAAAATAAAATAAAATAAAATAAAATAAAATAAATATAAAAAAATATAAAAAATATAAATATATAAATATATAAATATAAAAAAATACATATATGTCAATTAAATAGTGAGTTCTCACCACTGAGTCTATTTAGACTCTGAACTCAGTCAAAGTATACCCGAAACGAACACGATTAGAAGGTTAAGAGAGTATGGTGCTTCAAAACATTCGCAGCATCGAATGGGTCGCGCTCAAAGAAATCACTAAGTAGCGAATAACGCGACGTGAGATTAATTTCCGTGCCTATTTTCGTCGCTTCGTTTGCTACTCCACTCGCCGAACTCGTCTCCGTACGTGTAACGTCTCATGGTTAATACGAACATTTCAAGCGTTCAAGTAAGAAGAAGTAAGCGAGATGAGTAGGAATTTCTTTTTTGCTGACTGATTTCGCGCGAGCAGATGTTGACTCCGGATTTTGACGTGATGCGTGACTGAGGAATACGATAGGATTTTTTGGGTGATGAACGAGATGGACGCTGTCGATCCAGCGATCATCCAACGTCATCCATCTGTCGATCAATCCGCCCACTTGAGGGCAATTTATCGAAAGCTTCCAGCAGGTCTGGTTAGACTTTTTTCTCGTGCTCTTCACTGAAGCAATCTTTTCACGCTCAATCACTCGTGAACGGGACAAACAGCGGAGATTTCGAGTGTCCCTTTCTCTGGTTCTTTCTTCAGATCATTCTTCAGGACATTGCCATCCGTGGACAAATCTCTCGCAAGTATATTCCGAACGAAAGTCCTGGCGATGCGTTCGCTCGGTAAAGTGCGTTCGAAAGAATTTCTTTTAAAAAGTCTCTCCTCGAGACTGCATCACACTGATGAGGAATTTCTGAACTTAAGTGTTCAGCATTAATCGATTTTTTATGAGATATATTAAAAATCCTAAAGGATCTATAATAAAGGACCTATAGTAAAGGATCTATAATAAAGTAGGAATTTTACAGAAGCTGTTTTTAGAGAAGCTGTTAAATTATTTACTAAAAAAATAATTTTAATTTTAAAATCAAACGTTATATTATATTAATCCAATCTTAAGAATGTTAATAGTAATATTAGTTTGAATAAATTATTTTTTTTTTATTTTAATGTTTTTTTTAAATATTCAAATTGTCGATTCAAATTGTTTTTGATTATATGGGGAGGATGTTACAGTTTTTTTATGCAAATTCTTCTCAATTTTATTATATTTTCAGTGATGCAGAAATAGATTGTATCGGAAAGATTAATAAAATTGAATATTTAAAAAAAAATATTAAAAAAATAATTTTTATAATAATTTTTAAAATAATTTTTAATAAAAAAAAAAATAAAAAAAATAAAAAAATAATTTATTCAAACTAATGTTACTATTAACATTCTAATTAAGATGTTACTATTAAGATTGGACTAATATAATATAATATAATGTTTGATTTTAAAATTGAAATTATTTTTTTAGTAAATAATTTAATAGATTCTCTAAAAGGCTGTAAAATTCCTATTATTCCTACTTTATTATAAGCCCTTTACAATTTTAAATATATCCTAAAATCTTACATTCTAATGAAGTTAAAAAAGTAATTCTAATAAAAGTAATCAATAATAAATAAATTATAGAAATAAATTCATCGCGCTAAGGAATATTTCGCTAAAAACTTTGCTAGACATATAACATACTTTTGACAACATATTTCTGTTCTTAAAATATAAGAATATGTGCTATAATATAATATATGTGCTTAAAATATAAGAATATGTGCTATTCAGTACTTGTCTCGTAGCTGTGTTGAACGAAGGAAAGAGAGAAAGAGAGAATAGAACAAAATTAACGTGATTCTTAGGACAAATACACTTAACAAATTTTTTCTATCCTGTCAACGAAACTACTTCTGCTCTGATAACGAATAATTTGTAAAACTAGTTACGTCAACTAAATTTTTTTGATGTCACTACGAATATGCAGTAGCAACGACGATTTTGCTAAAAGAGCAAAATTATTTTTCTCCGTGCATAAATAACGCGTATAAGCGACTTTGCGGCCGCGGCTTGAACAGAGAGTTTAATTTCACTTACCCGAGGAACCAATTCCGTCGGCGAGAGGTTTCAAGTGTTTCCGTTTGGCAACGGGCGAAGATTCGCGGCGTCGTCGAATCCACCTGGGTTGTGGCACGTTCCATCTCCTTCGCAGCTGCATCCTGAAACAGTCGTTGAGATCGTTATTTCAAAGTAAAATCATCGAGGGAGGAAGGGAATATCATCCTAAAGCCAGAACTGTACCGGAATCGTTCTACGAGGCGAAGGTTCGTTGAAAATATCGCGAAATATAATTATATCATAGAGTTGGACGTGTTCACGCGTTCCCGTGTTTACTTCTCTCTCTCTCTATATATACACGTCAATATTAGATTAGGTGTGTGAACGCGTTGCTGAGTGATCATTAAAAGCTTCTTCTCGATCATGGCATCAAGTTCCTAAGGTCATACTTGAGACGACGGCGATATTCACACGAGCGATTATTCGCCGATCTTCTATTTCGACACGCACGTGTCGCTCTGCTTGATGAATTATCTTTTAAATGCAATAACGTCTATGCTGTTCCCAGCTATGGATTGCCATGGTTCTGTTTGGATGTTTCTCTATTATAATTTCGAGTGCGCGACCGTTGCGGCTGTAAACATTATTTGCGAATTTATTTTAGCGTTCTATTAATCTGTAAGCTGATTGTTGGCACTTCTGTTTAAAAGTGAGTAATTTATGTCAATTCGTCCTTTCTTGTTTTTTCTTTTTTACGTATATATCTGGAATATCACAATCCTCAGTTTTGTATTTTTCAAACTTTAAGGGATTTACTATCCAAAATCAAAACAATAAGATGAAGTAAAAATACCAACTCCTGAACACGTACCCAATTCTGGATACTCTTGTTTTGGGCTTCAAATATGGATATCTAAAAACTTTCAACATAGAATATTTCTTTTCAACACAGAAGCTCTCCTAAACTTTGTGGTGAGCACACCTTATACTGCACTGTAAAAACTGATGTGTTAAATTTAACATTTCATGTGTCCCAAATCGTCCATTCTCATTTATATGTAAATTTAACACAAAATAAATGTGGTAAAAAATAACACATATAATATGGAAAAAATTAACACAAGAATTTAACACTTGAATACCATCAGGAATCACAGTTTGTGTTAAATTGACATATATATAATGTTAAATTAACTAAAATAAAACGTTACTTTAACATTTGAGAGAAGTATTAATCTATGGTTTTAACAAAATGAAAATGTTAAATGGACATAATCTATGTCTGACATATTAAATATGTCAATTTAACACAACCTGTGATTCCTAACGATATTCAAGTGTTAAATTCTTGTGTTAATTTTTTCCATATTATGCGTGTTACTTTTTAACACATTTGTTTTGTGTTAAATTTACATATAAATGAGAGTGAATTTGGAACACAAAATGTTAAATTTAACACATCAGTTTTTACAGTGTGAGAAAAAGATTTACTTGCGGGACATGAAGTTTATTTCTGTGCAATAAAATTGATTCCATAAAAAAAACTTTTGTTCCACAAATAAATCCCAAGATCCTATTCTACCAAGATCTATTCTCTCTCTCTCTCTCTTTTCTTCGTTCAGCACAACTACGAGATGCGTACAGGTGCTTAATTTCGCCACTAAAGAAGCGAGTCAGCGTTTTAACACGCACAAAAAATAACGCTGCCGCGAATCATTCCGAAATCAGCATTCTCGTCCTCGCGCCGGATCGTTTCGCGTAAAGAGCACGCCGTGCACGCTACTTGAAGCTCGATGATGTAAGTACCACGTGATTGTCGTGCGGAAAATAACCGCTCCTACGATCGGAATGAAAGGAAGTCAGGCAGGCTCGCGAAGAGTCCTCGTGCGCGATTTCATCGCGAGGAAGCCGCTTTCCCGAGCAACAATCTGACAGTCTCGAGCTTTGGGCGAATCAATTTCATCGTACGTAGCTGCAATCGACTCGCGCGAGTAGCATGGAAGAGAAGCAATGCACGTTCCACTCCTCTCGTAGTACTTTCGCGTTTCCCTTGCCGGGCGGCACCGGAACTTTTGCAACAAGCGCCAAAAGGTACACGATCCGAAAATAGAGCGAAGATCATACGCGGAGAGCTCTTCGCGAGTGTCGCCGCGTGCTCTTCAACGCACACCTAGCATTGCTAAATCAGGGCCAAGGTTAGCGACGCGCCCGGCGTGGTTACGGCAACGCGAATAACGCGGCTACTTTTAGCGGCGCGAGTTTAGGATGACATCGAAGACGCAGTCCTTCGGAGCAGAAGCCGGCGGAATCGCGAAGGATTCGCGGGGCGGACGTGCCATCGAAAGGATGCGCCGATAATGACAACGACACGTCGTCCAGCGACGTTGGAAAGTTGAACGGCCGCGAGGCCGCTGTAATTAGCCCCGCGAGTGAGTACACCTCGCGGTTGCACGTGTGGACTCGTATGGGTATATAACGATCGGTTGCGAGCGGCGGAAATCGACGGCGAAATCGTCCGCCTGTCGATCATGCGAAATGTCAGACGCTCCGAGGAGCGCCCTGCTTATT